ATTATGTGACATTGATTGATATAGTGTCATCATGAGAAACTAACAACCTATCATGATTACCATATCCTAATAATAAGACATGGTGTGTGTGATTAGAAATTTAAATGTGTCCGTAAGTCAAAAAATAATTAATTAGTCGAAGAAAATCTATGGAGGTATAAAATCAAATGTGCTTAAGGTGCGAGTAAAAAAAACTCAACAAATGTGAAGAAAAATTTGTCATGACGGGAGGCATAAGACAAAATATTTTGCCTAAGGCGCATAAGTCAGGAAAACCCAATAGACATGAAAAAAAATCCACGAAGGCACAAAGATAAATATGCTTGAGGCACGTGAGTTTAGAAAACCCCACCCACACAAAAAGAAACCCACAACGATAGTACAAAGCCAAATGTACTCAAGTCATTTGAGTTCGAAAAACTCAACCTACGAGAGAAAATCCCGAACGCTCTTATGTTAGATGAACTAAACATTGCATTTTGAACCCCTCTCACAAAAATCCTAAAGCAGGCCTTCGCGCACGAGGAGAAGGGGGGTGTTGCTTAAATGATAAGAGATACATTGTTGGCGAGCCACGTGGTGCCCAAAAAGAGCGGAGAAGATGAAGATTGCTCCGCCACCCATTTGCCTATATGGATAAAGATTAAAGGCAAACAATCGTAAGCTTTCTTCTTGCCAAAGATAATCACAAACTTCATTTCTACCTTTATGACTCAAAAGATAATTACAAGCCTCTATGACCAAAAAGGCAATCAAACACTTTCTTCAAGCCCTTTACGAGTAGAAAAGCAATAGTAAATTTCCTTATAGCCCTTTATAACCCGAAAGGTAATCAAAGCTTTTTGCATGTCTTACAACTAGGTATAAAAGTTCACCTTTTAACACAGAAAAAGAGAGACTTCGAGGGACTACTCATATCTGCACCTTTTAACACTCTTACATCTCAGATTACTAATTTGGGTGTTATAGGGTTCAAGTTGGAAAATCTCGTCCGATCTCAATCTTCATTCTAGTGGCATTCAGTTTGAAGGTATTTCAGAAAATCATACGCATACGGATCCGGATCCCGTCGGAATGACTTAGACGATAATGATATTTTTTAATTAATTAAATATATATATATACATATATATATATACATATACATATACATATATATATATATATACATATACATATATATATATATACATATATATATATACATATATATA